AGGGGGAGGAGGGGAGGGAGGGAAGACGAGGGAGAGGGAGGAGATGGAGGGAGGGAGGGAGGGAAAGATCCCAGGACCCAGCGGGCTTTGCACTCACCCGTGTTGTACACGTGCAGTTCGTCCACTATCCCCTCGTTGCCGCCGCCAAACACCACGATGAGTTCCTTGATGGCCACGGCTCGGTGGCCGTGGCGGGGCCGGGGCACCGGACCCGACCAGCCCACCACTCGCTTCCAGCGGGGCTGCAGGAGCACCGCTGGAGAGTTGGCGGGCGACACGGCCGAAGCCATAGTTACGGGAAAGGCCGCGGTGGGGGAAAAGTCACCAAGCGGGAAGGGAGCCCCCCAATTCCTCTCACACACACCCCCTTTCGTCTAAGGTAGCTCTCACGGAGAAGCGGTTCCTCACACAGCGGTGGACGGTTCCATGGAGGCCGCCATCTTAACTACCCTCCTTCCCTTCGGCTCTTCCCCTTCTTCTAGCTCACCCCGTCTCTTCAAGAGCCTCCCGAAACTTTCGAGCGCCTAGCCCCGAGAAGCCGGAGGCCGCCGAGTCCCGCCGCCCTGACAACTCGCTCGGGCGCTCCCGCTTACAAGCTCGGGCGGGAGGCCCTGGGAGCCGCCATCTTGAGCCGTCCCTCTCTCCTCCCTTCCTCAGTCGTAGCCCTCCCCCGCCGGAAATGGCGGAGCCCCGGCCCGGTTCCCACACCCCCCAAGTCCCCTGCACTGGCCGGCTTCCGGGGCGGGTGGAAAGGAGCCACAAGCGCCGCGGTTGTCCCAGCCCCGCCGGCTCTCACACCACAATTGTGGGAGCCGCCATCTTGAGACCGTGCCGCTTCCCCGCCCAGCGCTTAGTGCAGCCGCCGCTCCCGAAACAGCCTCGACACTCGTGAAGGACAAAGGCGCGCCGGAGGCCAGTGGAACGAACTCGAATTCTCGGGGGCTGGTCGGAGACTCGCGCCGTACAGCTTGTGAGGTCTCGAACCTCTCCCCTGAGTCCGCCTCTGCTGCTCAGGCTGCGCCTGCCGCCCTGGGAGCCGCCATCTTGAGACTAACTCCCCCTTCCCCCCTATTCTCTTCCTCCTGGGTCAGTTCTTCCACTGCAAACCAAACGCAAGGCAGCGTCCGATCCTCGCTTCCCTCTTTATGACTCCTTCCCACAGGAGCCGCTCCAAAGAGCCAGAGTTAGGCCCCGGAGTGGCAACTGTACGGCAGGAGGAGCGGTAACGGCAGGGCGCTCATGCCTCCTCCCTGGGAGCCGCCATCTTGTGTGAAGAAGTAACAACTAAACATGGCGGCAACGGCGGTCGGGCGAGGGGGCGGAGTCGGGCTACGTCACTGTTTTCCCCCCCCCCACCCCCCGCCCTCGCACGGCTTCTCAGAGCCAAGGCCTCTTAAAGGACCCCCGTGCTGCCCCGGGGCGAGGTCCCAGGTCCACCGCGCGCCTAGCTAGGGCTCAGGCCGCTCTCGGGTCAGGCGCAGGCGCGCCCAGCCCCGCGGCCCACCCCCTCCCCCCCCATTGCGCCCTCACGCCTCCGCCCTGGGAGCCGCCATCTTGCCACTTCCCTTCGCCCGGCCGTCCACGGGCGTCAATAGCGACTTTCAGCACAAAACAAAGATGGCGGTTGAGGCCTCTGGTGAATGCCCGGATGAGGATGCCTCAAACGAGCTCGGCCCCGCCCCCCCTGGGAACATTCCCCCGGGTCGTTTAAGGAACACACGCCCGAGGAGTTGCCTTTAACTAGCAGTGGGGACAGGGCATAGGCTGCTGGGGACGGCCGACGGGAAACGTTAGAGCTGCAGCTCGGGCCGGAGAGTGCACATGTTTCCGCTCCCCACACCCAGGGGCCGCGGGAGAAGCGACCCAAGACACGCCGCGGGGGGAGTCGGAGGCGGGGCGAGTGGGCGGTGACGCAGCCGGCTCCCAGGCTCGCCGGCCCCGCCCCCGAGCGCCGGCGCCACCGCCCGCGCTCTAACGAAAGGAGACGCGCCGCGCGCCCGGGCCCGCTCCCCGTCCCCCGCCCCGCCGGCTGCAGGGCGGGCGGCCAGGCCGGCGGCACCCGAACCGAGCGGGCGGGCGCGGGAGAGCTCCGTGTCGCCCCGCGTCACCTCGCGTCACCCCGCGTCACCCCGCTCCGCCTGCTTCCCAGAGCCCGGCGCCCCGCCCCGCGCGCAGGCGCAGGGCCGCTTCTCGGGTCCGCCCTTTCCCGAGATTTGAATTTTCCTCAGCCAAGATAGAGAGGCAAATACCCGGATGGTGATCGCTGGCCTTTTCGCGCCAATACTGTAAGTTCTCGCAGCAACCTTAAGAGGTGGGTACTGGCATCGCCCCCATGTGCCAAATCTTGCAGGAGACCGGCCGGTGGCTGCACGGTCATCTGCACTGGCAGACTCAGGCTGTAGTGCAGGGGCCCTGAGCTGGTGTCTGTGAGCTTGAGGCAACCACAGAGGATTTTTCCACTTTCTCTCAGCTTTATTTCATTTTTATTTTCACCAACCCCGAGTTGAAATTTGGCGTTTCCCGCAACTACGAATATAGGCCACAGAGCACACACAGAGTGTTAGCCTGGTGGCTTTGTCACCAATGGAAGTGACACCATTTCAGATCACTTAGCTTTTGTTGTAGTCCTCTTGAAATGAACTCAAGTACAAGACCTGCCCGTACGTCCTGTCGTTTAACTTACCAGTAAAGAAGCACATATATTACCATATCACACATTTTCCAAAATATTTTCATACCATCTCTCGACCTGTTAAGTTTATGTTGTAACTCTGTTTCTATGTATTTGGAAGCATTTGTTTGGGAAAGGCCACAGAGACCTGTGGCGGCCAGAGGACAAGAGCCCTGGCCTGTATATGGGTGTGCCGCCAATTGCCCTAAATGACCTTGGGTATTCACCTCCCCTCTATGGCCCCGAGTCCCTCCCCGTAAAATAAGGAAGGTGAGCTGCTGGTTTCCAAAGACCTTGACTGAATTCAGCAGTTCTCTCCCTGGAGTTCAGGAGTCACTGGAGTTGTTCGAGGCTTCTTGGGTATCCAGGTGTCCCAGAGTGACCTCACCTGCAAGGGATGTCCCACATTACAGCCCTCAAGCTGGCACCCCCTTATCTGCAGAAAGGCAGCAAGGGTGGTCGGGACAGTCAGGGACACAGCAAGCAGTGGTCATAAATGCTACAGGGAAGAAGCCAGCACTGTGACAGGTGACAGTGGCTCCTGCATAAATGCATATAGCCGCGGGAAGCAGGGGAGAGTGAGGAACATGTGTTAACCCCTTAGCCAGGATATCGTCCTGCTTTGCAGAACTTCTCCAAAAGACTCCACAACTGTGGGCCAGTGCCTTTGGCCTTTGTGTGCCAGGTGCTGGGGGAATCTGTAAAGAACTTTGAGGGTCATGTCACAAGGGTCATGGCAGGAGCCATGGTGTATGGAGGAGCTAGGCCATAAAGTACCCAGCCTGGTCTCCTTGGTGGACTTGGGAAATTGGTTGGATGACATGTCACTTTCAGCTTGCACAAGGGCTCGGGTGGACTCTGCCCAGCAGCCAGAGAGAGGAGTCACTCTCCACGCCCTTCCTGGACCTTCTCTATCAAGCTGACAGTGTTTTGCTCCTGTCCCCGGCTCTTACCCATGCTTGCTGGCAGACGGGAGGGTCAGGCTAGCGCAGGTCCCAAAGGCCTGGCACTTCATGCCACAGAGCCGGGCCCCGGATAGATGCAGGTGAGCTGTCCCGGCTGGAGTCAGCAGCTGAGTGGGGAAGCCGCTGCAAGAGAATGGCAGCCGAGTGGAAGGTGTCAGCAGACGTGAGGCAGGAGGGAAGGCGGCCTGCAGAATCTCACTCTGGGCAGGACAGACCGGGCCTAGGGAGCTTTCAGGACTCCAGCGGGAGGGCACTTGGACGTGTGGCCGAGAGACTGGGACGTGATCACTCGTGGAGTAGAGAGCCAGCCACCAAAAGGTGTTAAGCGGGACTGGCACGATCCACTCCAGGGGCGCTCTTGCGGAACGTGCTGGGGGGGGGGGGGGTTGGCTGTCGTGCACAGACCACATTAGCAGTGGGCAGCCTGGGAACGGGAACCCCAGGACAGACCTAGCCCCCTGGACCCAGAGGCTCTTAGGGAAAGAGCTGGGGCGGGCGTGGACCGCAAGCTGAGGCGGAGGCTCACGCTCAATGAGGAGCTGTAGAGTCAGTATGAGGGCTCTGGTTCACTGGGGGAAATGCTGGGCCCCATGGTCCTCCTTAACAACGGACCCCCGAGGCAGGACGGGAGCAGGAAAGGCCAGCAGCACCGTCCCCAGAAAATAGAGGTGGCTGCCCAGGGCCACGTGAAAAGCGAAATGGTAACGTGCCTGTGAAAGCATAGGAAGGACAGAGACGTGGGCTTTGTGCTTGAATGGCCGTGAATTGAAATTGAGCAGGTATTCACAGAGCTTGGGAAGGAGAGCGGGGAATCAGACCCTGCCCTGCCCTGCCCTGCCCTTTCAGGGCCAGCGTTGCAGGGGGAAATGGAGCTGTGCCTCAAAAACAAAAGGTGCTAAGTGGTCTCCACCTGTAAGAATTTAGTCCACACGAGGACTGCTCCTGGAGGTACTGGAGGCATCGCCATTCTACACGTGTGCAAACTGGGGCCCAGACCGGTGAAGGCCCAAGGTCACACAATTAGCAGGTGTGGGGAGCCGGAGTTTGAACACAGGCAGTCCCTCTCTTCCCCACCGGCCTGCCGTTTTGGCTTTGAGTCATTTTCAGAGCGCGGAACCTTTTCTCTGTTCCATGGCAACATGCTTCTAGGCTACTGGGCCAAGTCACGGCGCAGCTGGCCCCGGAGCAGTTGACAGTCATGATAACTGCATGTTCTTTTTAAACTGTCTGCTTCTCCAACTGCAGGAAATGGAAGGTTTACTGTGGGCCAAGGGAAGCAGGGGATTTGGGATGGTGTGGCGCTTCGGGGCAGGGCAGGAAGGCCCACCCGGCAGATGCTCTTCCTCCTCCCGCTGTCCTCTCCCCCCTTCCTTCCCCTCCTCCTGCCCCTTCCCCTCCTCCTCCTCTCGCACCGCCCCATCCCTTGCCTTGGATTCTAGAACTTGGACCACAGGGAATGGTGTCAAACTGGGTATTTGGCGAAAAGGGCTTGGGGCCAGCTGGAAACTTCAACATTTATGACACCACTGAGGCAGGGAAGCCCATTGTGAATTGTAGCAACAGTCCTAGGAAAGGTTGAAGTGTGTAAATGCAGCGGCTCTAAGGGAAGTAGGGCAGTGAGCCGGGTGTTACAGTACACAGATGAAGGACTGAAGGACAGAGCGCATGGGTGTCAGGAGAGAAAGGCACGAAACCTCTAGGGGAGATCTAGATGGTTCTAGAAGCCATGATTCTGGAAGCCATGAGTAAGAAGGTGAACATGCTGTGGGTAGCGCTTCACTTTTATTTCTGGTTGGTTTTCTTTCATTTTTTAAGTTTTTTTATTTTTTGAGAGAGCAGGTGAGCAGAGGAGGGGCAGCGAGAGAGAGAGAGAGAGAGAGAGGGAGGGAATCCAAGCAGGCTCCGCGCACCGTCAGCACGGACTTGGGGCTCGAAGTCAGGAACAGCGAGATCATGACCTGAGCCGGGGTCGGTGGCTTAACCCACTGAGCCCCCCAGGCGCCCCCCTGGATGGTTTTCTTTCTAACCACCCTCTTTTTGTAACCACAGAGGAAAAAGGCAGAAGGCCCTTCCACTTCTGCTCCCCGGTCGGCGGAGCCACGGCTGGCCCAGCGAGGGGGGCCGGGGCGCGTTGCTTGGCGGAAGCCGAGTGTGTGAGTTCTGACCTGCCAGCCACACCTGCGGTTCCGCATGCAGCCCGAGTCCACGCGGGCGCTGTGCCACGTGGCTGTGGCCAGCTGCTTCTGCCTGGCCGTCGTCTACGCGGGGGTTTTCGACGGCGTCTCCATTCAAGTGGGCTACGAACACTACGCTGAAGCCCCGGTCGCCGGCCTCCCCGTCTTCCTGGCCATGCCCTTCAACTCACTCGTTAACGTGGCCTACGTGCTCCTGGGGGTGTACTGGCTGCGGAGGAAGGCGGTTCCCCTGGGGCACCCCGTGCACGCGCGGAGGGCTCGCTACCTGAAGGACGTGTTCGCCGCCATGGCCCTGGTGTACGGCCCGGTGCAGTGGCTGCGGGTCGCCACGCAGACGCACCGCGCCGCTGTGCTGGACCAGTGGCTCACGTTGCCCATCTTCGCGTGGCCCGCGGCCTGGTGCCTCTCCCTGGACACGGGCTGGAGGCCCGGCCTGTTCCTGGCCATCGAGGGCCTCTCCCTCGGCAGTTACGGCCTCGCCTGGCTGCACCCCTGCGGCTTTGACGCCGCGCTGGCTGCACACATCGCGGCGGCCGTGGGCCGGGCCCTGCACGCTCACGGGCGCCACGGCGGCGCCTCCTCGGGAAGGCACTTGGCGCTGGGCGTGCTGTCCTGCGCGGGCTTCGTGGTCCTCAAGCTGTGTGACCACCAGCTCGCTCGGTGGCGTCTCTTCCAGCGGCTCACGGGCCACTTCTGGTCCAAAGTGTGTGACGTGCTCCAGTTCCACTGCGCCTTCTTGTTTCTGACCGGTTTAAACACCGGCCGGAGACTTCCTCCGCATGGGAAGGCACGTTAAAGCGCGGAGAGAAGCCGCTTCCAGCCACCGATCGCCGCCGTGTCGCCGGCGTGAAATTTCCTTCCCGGGTGTGACAGATGCGAGGGCTCCGTGGAGGGCCGTCCCTTCCTCCGAAGCCACGGGCTTCGGTATTTAGGGGTGAGATGTTATGCTGTGTGCCACTTACTTTCAAAGAGATAAAGCAAATAGCTAAGTGCAGGGGGTTCAGGGACTCATTGTCCTGCTCTTGTAACTCTTCTCTACTTTGAAATTCTTTCCAAATAAAACGTGGGGCAAAACGAGCCCGAGAAATCCATCACGTTTGTCTGCAATGGCTTCGCGGTTCAGGTCACGTCCGTGGGCTGCTGACGGGGAGACTGAGTCACAAACCCATGCTGAGCAGACCGATGTGGCATCAGTGACGGCCGTGCTGACAGCAGGTCACACGGAAGGAGCCACGTCACCGCAGACCCTTCACGGAACAAGACAGGGCCGTCCGGATGAAGAAACACAGATGTCAAAAGTTGAATTCTCAACGCAACGTTGCCCTCAGGGCCAGGGTGTGGCTCAGATGTCCTCCGCAGCAGTGGTTACTGAAGTGTCACGTGTCTGTTTCCATGGAGAGACCCAGAGCAGGGCATGAGCCAGCCCCACACCCCTGCCATCCCAGGCCCTCAGGAACCACGGTCTCCTGATGGCGTGTCAGGCAGGGCCCTGGAGTGGGCATCTTGAAGCCCCCCCCCCCATGCTTCTCGTGCAGACAACAGTGTCCGAAGCAGTGAGCCCAGGGGTGACACTGTGGCCGAAGAGAGGCTGAGGGTTTCTGCCCTCTTCGGACCCTTGAAGGCCGTGCTGTTCGTGTTCTTTCTTCCGCTTGTTAATGTGCTCTTTTTTTTCCATTTTTTTAATGTGCTCTTTAGACGCCTGTTTTATCCCCCGCTGTCTGAGAGGCGTTCAGTCTGTAGGAACAGAGGTGAAGACAGCGTTCGAGAGGACACTGTGTTCCTTCCAAACGGCCTCTCGGGACGGGCTGCCTGCACGCACCCACTCAGTGTCCCCCCAGGCCCCTCTTCCTGGAGCCTGCGGGTTGCCATGTGGACCATTGCTGTGGAAACCGGGTCCCCGTACTGGATGTTCTGTCCCAGCTGGGCACCCCACAAGCGGGTGGTGGGTCCTGGCCAGGCCACCGCCCAAAGAACCCCACGGGTGGGGGCCCACGAGCGTTGCCTCTGCTTGGGCAGCGGCCAGCTGAGCTCTGCCCCTCCCACAAGGCCTGGGCAGATGGTGTGGCCTGGCCCGGGGTCTGGGGCCCAGAGGCGGGACGCGCCAGTGCGTGAGGAACAGGCTGGCATTTGCTTGGGGAGACAGCTTTGTTCCATGGCAGTGTGTTAAAGGCTCCGGATGCCTTAGAAGGGAACAGCGCTCTGGGGGTCGCCAGGACGGCCACCCTTCCCTCAGGCCGGAGGGAGGAAAGACCGGGAGATGTGTGTCCTGCGTCCCGTGTCCTGTCCTGCGGGGGCCCAGTGAGAGGTGAGGGTGGGTGGGTGGAGGGAGAGGGGACCAGGGTCTCATATGGGGTGGGTTGCTCTCGGCAGCTGTTTCTGTCACCCACGGGGCGGGTCCCCCGAGAAGTGTCGGGGTTCTGCATAGCTGTGTTCATCCCACACCTTTGAGCAGTAACTTTTCATTTTGTTTCATTTCGTTTTTACCAATACTTATTTAATAAGTAAGCCTGAGAACCTTCTGGTTTTCATTCCACTCCTGTGTCAGGCTGGGTCCCCACAGGAAACAGGTGGCAGGCTCAGATTAGGGTGATTCAGGACAGTTTCATGGAGAACTGTGCACGCCGCTGGGGGGCCCGGGGGGCCCTGGCGTGGGGGGGGGGCTGCACCCAAGGGGACACAGGAGGGTGTGGGGACCTCCAGAAACCTGAACCCCTCTATCCTGCTGGTCTCTGTCCAAGGTTATCTGATAAAACGCAGCAGCACAAATGATGTTTCAGTTCCAGCCTGTCCCAAATACCACATGCTTGTAGTAAGAACATTGTTTCATTATTTATCCTAAATTCACATTTAACTGGGTATCTTGTCTTTTTATTTGCTAAGTCAGCTGATCCAAGCAAAGCCAGAGGGTGGGAAACTTCTGTTCCTCAGCCCAACCCCTGGGTTGGGGCCCCTGGAGGAAGAAGGCAGGTGGCTGTGCCCCCGCCCGCCCTCCCCCTGCCCCTGCCCACTGAGCTCTGCTGCCCTTCCCTCTTCTCCTTGGCCCTGTTGGCAGTGTGGCGTCCCTCTTCCCGCTGAGAAGCTGGTGGTCACTAGAGGGGCCCTCTCCCTGCTTTGGGCCTAAACGGTTCAGAGGTCCCAAAGCTGGGAGGGATCTCGGAAACCGTCTGCCCCAACTCCCTCACTTCACAGAAACTGAAAGTCTACAGGTCCAACTTGGCTGACGGTTGCATCAGAAATGCAGGCATCCCACCTCCGTGCCCAAAGTCCCACCCACGGCGCTGCTCTGCCCGTCCCCGGAAAGGGCGACGGTGGGGTTTCAGCCTGGTCTCCTTGCTTTCCTGTACCACAGCCTGGGAATCCGAGCCCCCCACCCCCACCCCCGCCCCGGTGAAAATAGCTGTAGTGGCTTTGCTGCCCATGGATGGAATACAGGCTCGTGGGGGTGGGGGACGGACCACGAGTCAATGGAGAGGACTGGCGGGATTCTGGGGGCCCTGCCACCGGACACGCAGGCGTGTGCAGTTGCGTGACAGGTGCAGACACTGCCCGAGGGCCCCTTGCGCTTTAGTGACGTTGTGCCCGTGGCTGTGGCTAATCGTGGGCTTCTTCACCCTGTCCTCATCTGGTGCCCTGACTCCTTCCCAGCTTTCGTTGCCTGCAAGGGTCCTCCGCTTCCACGCCCTGGAACGAGCCGCCTTTATCTGGGTCCGTCTCAGGAGTGTCATCGAAGGGCATGTGGGTTTGACAACCCTGGGCTGCTTTTCCACCTGACGCTCATGATTCACGTTTCTACCAGCGACATGGAGGCCACCCCCGGCCGCCCCGTACCAGAGAGGTGTGAGCGCACGTTTTCACTTTGTGCCAATCTGATGGTGGCAAAGCGAGATCTCATTGCGACTTTAATTCCTGCCACCCCCTCCGTACAGTGGCACACACGCGCACACGCACGTATGCAACTAGTGCTCAGGGCCTCGTCTGTTGCAAGTTTAGATTTGTCTGTCAGTTGCTTGTTGATATGCTTCCCTCGTTCTGCAACTGTATTTTCTTAATTTGTAGGAGCTCTTTTTTATATTATAGACATGAATCACTCATCTGTCATACAGAGACAGAGTGTGAGCAGGGGCGGGGCAGAGAGAGAGCGAGACCCAGAATCCGAAGCAGGCTCCAGGCTCTGAGCCGTCAGCACAGAGCCCGACGCGGGCCTTGAACTCACAAACCATGAGACCATGACCTGAGCCGAAGTAGGACGCTCACCCGACTGAGCCACCCAGGCGCCCCATGCAACTGTCTTTTCTTAATTTGTAGGAGCCCTTTTTTATAGTATAGATCTTAACCATTCATCTGTCATACAGATGGTAAGTATGTTTTCTCTATCTATCGTTTGCCTTTTGACTTTGTGGATATTTTAAAGTAACACGGTTGAAGATTTACGGAGCCCTGTATGTCTAGATGTCTGTCTTTTTCTACATGGTTTTTGGGTTTCGGGTCTTGCTGAAAACATTTTTCTGGGTGCGTAGATTATACTTGTCAAACCTTAACATCTCCTATGGCTGCTTCAGATCTCTTTCATTATAAAATGTTAATTATTCAAGGATTATTCAAAACAGGGGTACCTGGCTGGCTCGGTCGGTGGAGCCTGCGACTCTTTATCTAGGGATCGGGAGTTCGAGCCCCACGTTGGGTGTTAAAGATTTAAAAAATTAGTAAAAACCGTAATTGTAAAAACAGTATCTACGTTTAGAAATAAAACAGAGCGGCTGTTATTGTCAACATGACAGTTTGCCAAACCAGAGTTAGCCGGCGCTCTGGGACAACAGCTCCCTCTCACCTGGGAAGATCTCCGTAAGTTGAAATTTTTTAAAAATTATTTTATTTAGTCAACACACAGTGCAATATTGGTCTCAGGAGTGGAGTTCAGTGATTCATCACTTGCATACAAGACCCAGTGCTCATCACAAGTGCCCTCCTTAATGCCCATCGCCCATCTAGCCCGTCCCCCACCCACCTCCCTCCGTCAACCGTCAGTTTGTTCTTTATTGCTAAGAGTCTCTTATGGTGTGTTTCCATGTCTCCTCTTTTGAAATCTTTGCATGAGGATAAACTGGGTGATTTATGTCCTCCGCTGAGCCCCCAGATACCCATGTGATTAGGGAGCAACTCTTCCCATTCTGAATGGAGGCTTGTATCCCGGGTCCTTTCCGTGGTCGCCGTGCCCATCGCCAAGACGAGCGCTGCGTGCGCTGGGCCTGCGGCTCGCTGATTTCCGGGGCCTGGTCCCTGGGGGTCTGGCGAGCCGCCCAAGCCCGCTTGCCGTCTGCAGCCTGGGCCCCGGGAGCACGGCAGGTGCTTCCAACCGTGGTCTTGTTTTTCTAGTCTTTTTTCCATTTCCTGCCCTTCGCTTTGATCTTTGCCCTCTGTGTCTCTTCAGAATCGCTGACTTCTGGTTCTACTTCTGCCTCTTCTTTCTCAGCCCTGCCTCACTTCCACGGGGGCCTCTGCCGGGCTGTACGCGCTGCCGCCATCTCGCCGGCTCAGGTCTCTTCCGTTGAAAGACGGGAAACCCGACGGATTAAATTGGAGCCCCATCCCTGCCTTCCTGCCCCAGAGGAATGCACCGTGCGGAGATGGGGACACCCTTGCCCCACAGGCTCTCATACCTTTCCCACGGGTGAGAAGTCCTAGTGCGCGCATTGTGACTTTCCGTAACTGTGCCACACGGTCCAGACCTTGTATGTGCGCCCTTCACGAGGGTATCTGCCTGTGCGCCCCTGCACCTGTGAACCCACAGCCATTTCAGCAACCTCTTCCCTGAGCCATTTGGCAACTTGTAGCCAGGTGCAGGGGCACACGGGGTACCGGATACCATCGGAGGATTTCTCAGCCACGGACCTAACACGGTCTTGAAAGGGAAAGAGATGGGGCGCCTGGGTGGCTCGGTCGGTTGAGTGTCTGACTGCGGCTCAGGTCATGATCTCACGGCTCAGCCCGTGAGT